GATAAATGTCTCTCAGGGATGGTCTAGACAGTATTTGGTCCTGCCATGGGGGCAGGGGACTGGACTCAATGACTCTCGAGGTCCCTTCCAGTCCTAGTGTTCTAGGATTAACACTTCCTTACTAAATAAAATCATGACTAGTGTGGAGAAATTAAGACCTCTTCCATACCCTTCCCATGCAGAAAATCCCAGTGTTATTATTCCTGTCACATACAGAAGCTGTTCTCAAGCCCTCAGCATTTTTATTGCCCTTTACTGAACATTTTCCAATGCCAAGAGATCTTTTCTGAGATGGGTGAGCACGTCTGCAGACATCTGCACGATGTGGGTGGACCAGGGATTTATATAGTAGCAATGTGTGTGTGTCTCATTGTTATTCCTTTTCGTAATGATCCCTAACCTGCCGTTTGGTTTCCTGACTGCTGCAGTGGGTGTTTTCAGAGCGCACTGGGTGTTTTCAGAGCGCGCGGGGTGTTTTCAGAGCGCGCAGGGTGTTTTCAGTGCTCCCAGATCTCCTTCCAGAGCAGTAACAGCTCATTTAAACCCGTCACTCGATGGCTCCTCTGGAGCTTGCTTCCCAGCGCCCGTGACCTTTCACGTACCAATACTGAATTTCACCTGCCGTTGCGCGGCCTGTCACTCAAGTGTTGTGAGATCCCTTTGCGGCACTTCACAGCCTGCTTTGGACTTTGCTATCGTGAGCAGGTTGGGATCATCGGCACATTGCGCCACCTCCCCGATAACCCTTTCTCCAGATGGTTTATGAATGGGCTGCATAGGATGGGTGCCAGGACAGACCTTGGGGGACCCCGCTAGTTACCTCTCTCCACCGTCTGTTAGCCTGTTACTGACCCACGAAAGACTCTTAGCCCCTGGCAGCTCACTTCGGTGAGGGACCCTGTCTAAGGCTTCCTGGCAACCTGAGCACCCTCTGGCCACTGGGTCCCCCGTGGCCACATGCTGGTTGACCCCTGGAGGAATTCTAGGGCATCGCTCCCCGGGCCTTGCCCTGCTCACTACACGCAGTACGGCGAAGGGCTGGTGCTGAGGGCAGGCGTTTCCCTGCTGCCCTGCGCTGCAGAGACCAGTCCACCCTTCTCCCATGCTCCTCACAAGGGACGGGAGCGAGAGACCAACCCTGGCTCCCTATGCTAGCACTCCTTCCCGAGGGGCGGCCTTTGCTCAGCCAAGGGTGGGGCCAGCAGCCCCACCCCGGGGCGCTTACCTGGTTGCCCTCAGACTCGCTGCTCTCCAGCCCAGAGTCTCTGTCGTCCACGGAAGGGGCCGGCCTGAGAAGCCCACTGCGGGTGTGGGAGCTGCCGCTCGGCTCAGGACTGGAGTGTGGGTGAGCTGGTGCAAGGCTGGACTCCCCAGGCCCCGTTCTATCAGAGGCGCTGGCGTCTGGCTCAGGGGGGGTCCCCAGAGGGCAGCAGGGACCCCCCTGAGCGGCACCCTGCGGAGATGGCTGGGTGAAGGTGCCGGTCGTGCCGCTGGGGTTGAAGGAGCTCCCGTGTTGCCCACCGAGACATCGGAGTGGCTGCGCCGGGGGTTGTAGGGCTTCAGGAAGGAGCTGTACACGAAGCCTTTGGTCACTGCAGAGAAGGGAGGGGCGGGTCAGAGATGCAGAGGAGAGCACAGGAGACAGGCCCAAGAGGGCACCTCCCCCGGATTACGGTTTGCTGGAGGCGCGAACCCACCTACCTCCATTGTCAATGAGCCAGCGGTTCTGGCTGCCCATGGGGTCCTTCTTCTTGAGCACCCCCACGAGATCCCCCTCCAGCAGCGAGACGTCCAGGTCCTGCGCGGCATTGACATTGCGCTCGGCCTGGAAGAGTTTCTCCGGGGGGTACCTGGCCAGGAGGGCGGCTCGGAGCTCACCCGACTGCAGCATGTAGCTGGGCTGGAGGGGAACATGGAATCCATGAGAAGGCCCTGCTGGGCTCCCCAGGCCCAGCCCCTGAACCAAGGTGGAGGGGACTCACCAGGCCCAGGAGCGGCTGCCGCCTGGCAGACTGGCGCTCCATGTGCCTCCTCTCCAAGGGTCTCTTGGCAGCCGCCTGGGCCTCCGGGAAGAAGGTGAAGGCCTGGAGGGGCTGGAGGACTCGGCTGTGCTCCTCTTGGAAGATGGGGATTGGG